TTTCAATATATTTTCTCAGATATTTTATGATATCTTATGGGTCAACTCGTCACAATAAAACCCTGAGGAGAAGGATTTGTGACTTTTCGGGCCAACGGCCTATTTCTAACTCTTTCCTTTGCCTGACTCGGGTGTCAGCGCCGCATGCCTAGGTAGATGTATGCCAGGCGCGTCCCAGCGTAACAGGATTTCGTGAGATATCGCAAAGCCTGTTACGCGAGACGTGGTCCGGCGTACATTTACATAGTACTTCATGAGACGATTAGAGTAGCTGTTGTGGGACTGTTTAGAAGTGATGCTCTGCTGATTATGCCTCTAGCTCTTGAGCTATACGTGCAGCAGCAATAGGGTGTTCCAGGCAATCTAAAACGGAAGTAGGAAAAGAACAAACTCACTGACCTTTCTGTTTCCGTAATGGCTCTGATTGGTCGAGCTAATCATGAGCTTTCGCGGCCTTTCAGGTATGAGAAACTGTCAGATCAGTTTCAAGCTCCCCTCTATATTTGAGATGTTAGGATCGGCCCAAACTATATGGTAGTTTTTCATACTGGGCGGACGGAAACAGATATATCAGTGAGTTTGTGCTTTTTCACTTCCGTTTTAGATAGCCTGGAACACCCTAGTTGCATTGCATGTAGATTTCTGCATGTCTGTTGCTCAGAAGCGTTAACTGGCAATCAAATAATGGTAAGGTCACAACAATATACACATTCTGAGTTCTTCAATGATTACTTTTACGGTAACACTTGTGTTTCTTTCTTTGTACCACAGGACCGATACTATGGCGAAACTAGTACCAGATACTTTGAGTTCGTCGCTTCCGTCTGATCTGCGAAGTATTTCTAAACTCATGTTGTTCACACAATCTGAATCCGAAAACAGGTCACTTACATTCATACCATGATTATCATTTTTAAAAGCATACTTTTTAGACCTGTTTTGGATTTGTTTTTATTTGGTTTCCTACATTTGGTGTAATTATCGGTAAATGGCAACCTTTGCATTTTGCACTGTATGAGTTTGTCATACTTTTAGTCGCCCAACCCCTAGCCTTATGAATGTGAATCAGTAAGTGAACGTGTTCCCTACCGGAACTCCAGCTGGAGCTCTCGCAGACTTCCTCCAGGGACCTCAGAGCGTGTGTACTGTACTTGTTTTGGACTCAATAATATCTGAAAGTATCGGAACGACATCTTGAGTCATCTTTCCTTAAATACCCAAAATACCTATCGAGACACAATTCTCAACAGGTTATGGGCTACATACTGTTCTGCTGGGTAAAATGTTGGTACATGAGTCAAGGTAAAATACCGGCTGTCTGTCTAGTGCCGGCCTAGGCCACATTTTGTGGATGAAGGTAAAGTTCCTGTATCTTTGAACGAAATGTGTGTACAGTGTTTTCCGGTGCGTCCGATTGAAAGAAAACGAAGGGAGTTAAAATATCTGAAGGTTCCAGTTCAAATAGTTACGAACTTTAGTCGATTAAGTGACTATAACCTCACTTTGTGGTTAACGAGAGCTCTCACATGTGTTTGTTTACTATTATATTGAAAGGCACAATATTGAAAGGTACGCTGGAATTAGGGATTTGAAGGTTGGAAAAATTACCGGAAAAATTGGAAAAATTTCCCGGAAATTTTTCCAAATTGAAAATTTTTCAAAGCCATAAATTTCCAGCAAAAATATGGAATTTTTTTTTTCTGGTGGTTTTGAATTTGCTGAGTGACATATTTGATAGTGACAATGGTACAATGTTTAACGTGGTAATTTGTGTTTTCTAAATTATAGAGCAGCGTTATATGAATGTAATCAACATTTCTCTTCTTGAAGAATGTTTAAGTCAAAGTTCTTATCAAAGCCAAAAATCAAATGTCAACCTACACCCCGCTGAATCTAGATTTTTGTGATAAAGTAACCCAAATTTCTTCTATTATTCGTGTTTTGTGAAACCTTCGATTCATCGCTTTCATGGACATTATGATTTTTTATCGCAATCAACCATGCAGATACCTTCGATTCATCGCTTTTATGGACATAGTGACTTTTTATCGCAATCAACCATGCAATCGCAAGTTTAAGGGGAAACATTCACCAAAACTATGTGATAATTTTTCATTTGCAAAGTTTATTGTCTGGCTTGAGGGGTTACTATGTTTTCCCAGTAAACATGCGACAAAACGCAATTTTTTAATTGCATAATTTATAGTCTAGAAAAGCGATAAATCGAAGGCTTTACAAAAGCTGAGTCAGTGCGAACTTTGGGGATGAAAGTTTCACAAATACAGATGCGCTGGATCAAAAATGACGGTTGACGACAGCAATGACGGCGTGG